CCGTACACCCTGTATAATTCCTCGTCGATATTATTCCTTACACTTTTGGCCAAAAGATATTTGGTGTTGTACATTTAGGATGCTTGGTAAGTGGTGGTGCAAATAATCATATAGTTACTCTACGTGGGTAAATGGATTGAAAATGTAATGGGAACTTTGTTGGTATAATGCTTTGTTTCGGAGAAAATTAGATTTATAAATTCATCAGGTATGGTATGACTCGTCTGACCATTAATCGCTATTTCTATTTGCAGTTTGCTTTTGTCGTAGTAGTGAAAATTGTTCGCATCTTTGAAATGACACTTAATTGATCTTTTATCTCGTGAATTTTCAACGTTACCTCGAAGACAAAAATTTTCACGAAGAAAATTTACGTTATATTTTCTCATTTATTATATATTAATATATATTTACTCATTTTCTTAAGTAGAACGTCCACATTATATGTCGAAAATTCTGTAATTTTTGGAAAAAGGATCGTCGCTTAAACTTTGAGAACAGCTAACGAGAAAGTGAATTACCATTGTAAAAGAAATATTAAGTGGTCAGTTTCTGGTGAAACATTAAATCTAGAGTCCAGCGCATCCAGGTCATTAAATATTGTATTAAAACTAGAAAATCCACAACACTCTATGTACAAGCTTTCATATACCTTTTTGGTAATTCACTGTACGTTATTGCCCATGCAAGTAAAATGTAACATTGTCATAAATGTAAAATAGCTGTCTGCGATAAGCGCGTCATAAAAATATGTAAATTGCGCGCGCAAAAAGTGTTACACAGCAATAACGATAAAGAAATAACGAAAATGCTGGAACGCTATGGAAGCTAGTTTTCGTGTTACAAGTTTTTTATTCTGTTTTACGTCTAATTTTTTAAAAGTTTCTAAAACATCTTGTTTCGTCTACTTTATTACAGCGACATTTTTTAACAAAAACTATACTTCAAACAGAAAAGTTAAGTTTCAAAATCTGGAACATGTGCGTGATATATTCTTTTCGTTGATAATATGAATTCGTGAGAGTCACGTATTAGTCAGAAAATTGCAAAATATAAAAAAGGAACTCAGGTTATTTATACTTATGTTACGTTTAGGGTCACGCAGGCCTCACCGAAGCAAACGTATCGCAATTATTTTTCTTTTTCAAAGTCAATGCTTATTATTTACAGAAATCTCCTGCAAATCGAATGTTACGACTAAATATCTTCAACCACGATATTTAACTAAAAATAAATTTTTTCGGAATGTACAGAATGTGAAATTATAGTTTATAAATGTTAACTGCCAAAACGAATCGATTCTGGTCGTAATAATAAGACGAAATGTTTACGTATTTTTTCACATTTTTAAAAGGAAATATAGTCGGGATAAATGAAACACCCTGTACAAAATAACGGTTCGTCGGTTGGTTTTATACTTCTTGCCAGCGCACAGTGATCTGAATTTCGTGACAACTAATCCCGCAGCTCGGCCAATAAATTGTTTTTTTACGCGAAGCCCACCGTGTTTCGTAAATCAAATCGACCCGGATGAGTTATGGAGATCTATTTATCACATTCTGGACCCATGCGCAGTGGGATTTTTACCACAGTTTCTACTCGTTGACGTATCATCGATTATAGATTGCTGCTAGAAAAGCGATTTTCACTGTTATTTTTCCAAATAAAAAATTCCACGTTTCCTATTTCATCCAGCGAAATGAAAATATATCAGTTTTCTTTTCGAACATTAAAAAACTTTGCATAGTATACCAAAAAAAGTTATTTCAATTACCGAGGTAAAGGGTAACTTTTATTTTGGTTTTCGTTTACATTGCTAAATTTAAGAAAAATATTGGCAACCACAATTTATTCAACGGTTTACTTCTTCCTAGAATTGCTTTACCAATATCAGACTAACAAGGAGGGAATAATTACCCACCAATTGCTTCTCAAACTCGTACATCGCAATATTCTGGTTCTGCAATTATTTTCATTGTAATTCTTTGATTCATGCCCCGCTTTTGTACGAAACTTGGTAGAATGAGTTATCAACAAAGTTTCCCGGTGAACCTCGAAAACATAAATCTGACCAGTGCAATCATGGGAAATCAATATTTCTGACACTTATATCGAAGCATGTAAACGTACGAACAGAACTCCAATATAATCCGCGAGTTATGGAACTTGTTCCGAATTTGGCTGTAAATTGTCACCTCCATTTAACCCAGATGTTGTAACAAGAGTTACACGCTGGTATTGTATTAGAATTTTCATCAATTAATTTATTCTGCTTTTCTTTGGTTTATTCACAATTCCTTTTGCATTCCTTTCGTTCGTTCCAAATAAATACTTTTGGAAATTAATTTCCGTTTTACAGAATATTTTTGATATTATTATAAACTTATTTTAATAATGAAATACTTGTTTCTTCTGTATTCGTTGAAGAGAAATTTTACTCTACTGTTACATATTAATTTACTTTGAATTTAAAAATTTCAAATTTTTTTGAAAGGAATAGAATACTTCAGAATTAAAATGGAAATTTATTTTTCGAATAATCACTAGAACTGGATAAATGAATTAGCAAATAAACAAAGGAACGAGCGTTCCTCATTAAGCGACGATCATTAAATAAAATGTACAAAGATAATTTGCATGAAAATTAAAATACAAATTCGAATAACGAAATCGAGTAACGATGATATTTGTCGAACAAGGTTTAAAATTCTTTAAAAATAAAATTGAATAAAAAAGCAAATGTATTTTATACCTTTCAAGAATCTTCCGCATTTTGTCTTATTTCTAAATAATTTAACATCTCATTCATTAAGTTAATTACTATGGTTGTTATTATTATTCAAATTCGCGTATTATTCAATGCTCGTGTCAGGAATAATGAGCTTTTGCATAATTATATATTTACAAATTAGTATTATTCAATTGTGATAATTACTCGAGAAATAAATTTCTCTTTTGGTTCATTTCTGCACTGAAAGAATATTTCACAGTTTTATCTTATTTCTAAATAAGAAAGTCCCCATACAGGAACTTCTTACAAAATTCATTGTACGTTAGATATAATAAACTTTTTCAAGTTGCACGTGCGCAAACAAATAATAAATGTAAATTATTCAGACTACTGTCGGAATAAAAACGTAAACTTTTAAATCGTGTTAAAGAAGACTCGTAAAGATACTTTTAAATGTCTCCCTCCCACGCAAGGCTTCTAGCCATCTCGTTCGAAATACAGAATCAACTCGGAGTTGCATCAGACCGACTAGGATCGCTAAAGTAGCCTAAGAACGTTCTTGATCAAACATTAAAAGTCGCTCGGAGTCCCAGGGGGAAGCTCAGGCAGCCAGAAACGTTAAATTTTAGATCAGCGAGTGTAAATCAATTTCAAGCGAAACCGTCGCATCCTAATTACACGGGTAATAAGAAGGGAAACGGTCATATTTAACGTGTGCGTCGACGAATTTACATAACTCGATGCCCCGGATATATAACCCTCCGCAATCAGAATTTCATGGAAACTAATTCTGTGGTTCGTTTAATGGAGTCTTCCTCGCGTGGCGTTGCGTTCCGGTCGCAGATCGACGAGCCGATTGGAGCGGCTCCAATCTCGCGTTTTACACAAACCGTGTCGTTTTCACGCAATTCATTAGCAAATCGAAAACGTCACGCGAGCAAAAATCGGCGAAATCCGTTTCGAAAAGTATCGCGAAGCGTTCTGTTTCCGATCGAGTGCTAAAAAATGTTACTGCGAAACTATTGCAACGCTTTTGATCGAAATTCTGATTCGATACGATGCTGTATTGCTTGTGAAAAATATCGGGCACGCCAGAGATTTGGTCAGGAATTGAAAAATTCGAAAGAAAACATAAGTTTTGATCAAGTTTGATCTATTATGTTGGCGGTGAAAAGAGTTCCGGCGGAAGGTATGCCCAACATTATGATCCGAAAAACAGGAGGATATTAATTACGGTGTGTCTCAGAAATAAATGGCCGAACTTTGGGTGGTTGTTTTGCTCGTCGTGGGAACGAAGAAAAAGATCATACTCTTTCTAAATGTTCTCGCTTAATCTTCCTTAAACTTTGGTTTAAAACTTGAATTTAGAGTAACGAGCACCGTATTTCCTGGATTTTGAGGCACGCCACGCTTCATCGTTTAGACGATAATAAAATAGCTGGTTTCGTAGTTGGCAGATTTACGAACGATCGAGCTTAAGCCCGCTACGGAGCAGACACAAGCGAGGAACTGGAACATTCATCAAGATGCAGAGTATAGGTGACGTTATTATGGGCGATTCTACGGTATCTGCGTTTCTAGGCACTTGAACAGCACCAACCATGACTGTTCGACCGATTTGATACTCTCGATACGATCCTCTATGGTCGTTCGCGTCGTTCAGCCTTGATTAATGAGGGAATGATCGTGTTCGCGCGTTACTCCAATGTCAATCGGAATGAAAAGCAACGTATGACCCTTGATCTTCTCGATTGTATTGATAACGCTTATTCCAGCCTCCCGTCAACCGTTTGAGCGTTTTTGAGTAATGGTTCTCGACCATGACGTTCGTAAAACAATGACGCTGGGCGATTGTTTCGTCCCCCCGAAGGGTTGTGGTTCGATAACATGGGTGAAATAATATTGGACCTTGGTAATCAATCAAATGTCAAGTATTGTTATAATAAACACAGAGGATATATAATAGCTTCTCAGTATTTAACTCTTTGAGGCAGACGATTTTAAAGGAAGAAAACACTCGAGTTGCACGAAATGTTTTTTGACATAAAAAAGTAGGGAAAAAATAAAATATATATCAACTTTTTGAGATTAAAAAATGTCCCAAATGTCGAATATCTTCGCGATGAAATTTTCTATAAAATTAATTGCAACACAGGCTAGGGTCCAGTATTCTAGAAAGTCCAACAAATGTTATTTTTATACTGTAATAATAATTAAAATTCTGAGGGATCGAGTGATTTTGTGTTTGTAAAACGAGGCTTGCACATACCTGTTTGAGAGTCGGACGCCGATAGGTAAACGAGGCAGCAAGTCGTTAGGAGCCGAAGGAGCCACATGACACTACACATGATTGCCCGACGCGTGGCTCCTCCCTTCCTTATCTGTTCCCCCTGCTGCGGTTCTCGTACCGCTGTCTCGACATTGCTGTCATCTGAAACACATGACCGGATATCACCAATAGGATCAATTTATTCAAGCTAAAATGCAGCTGGAACCTATCTTTACATCCTACAGTAATGATTCGTAAAATGAACATCGCTCCGGAGGTTGCCATGCTCATCTCTCATACAGTGGAAGCGAAATTCGGCCCCAGGAGATGTGTTACACAATAATAATTCTTAAAATGAATATCGTTTCGGGGTCAGTGTGTTCATTTTAAGAATCATTACTGAATAAACATCTCCTAGTGTCGAAATGGACCCCAAGGGGGATCCCCAAATTGAAAGGGATAGAAACAAAGATGTTTATTCAATAATAATTCATAAAATGAACATCGTACCGGGGTGAATGTGTTTATTTTAAGAATCACTACTGAATAAACATCTTCTAGTTTCGAAATGGACCCCAAGGGGGATCCCCAATTTGAAAGGAATAGAAACGAAGTCGTTTATTCAATAATAATTCTTAAAATGAACATTGTTCCGTGGTTAGTATGTTCATTTTACGAATCATTACTGAATAAACATCTTTCAGTGTCGAAATGGACCCCAAGGGGGATCCCCAAATTGAAAGGGATAGAAACAAAGATGTTTATTCAATAATAATTCTTAAAATGAATATCGTTTCGGGGTCAGTGTGTTCATTTTAAGAATCATTACTGAATAAACATCTCCTAGTGTCGAAATGGTCTTCAAGGTTCATTCCTCAAGTTGGGAGGGATTGAAACATTCAACTTACGAATCACGTTTGGGGTTCATTTTGTGAATCATTGCTGTATATCAAAGGAGGAACGAGGATTTCGCGAAAACAAAGATCAGGATCGAAGGGTGGAGTTCGCGCGGGTATTCAGAAATAATGCAGCGCGCACGCGATCGAAACCAGCGGCGCAAATACGCGTTAAGTGAACCGCGGGGCTTTTATTGAAATAGCACGCGGCTCAGGAACGTAAGAAGAAGCCTGTTCGTGATTCACGTAACCGATTCCGAACAGGTATCTCCTGCAACTACACCGGGCGAAAAGCTTCGCGGGGACGAAATGTAACGCGAAAGACGAAAGAACACGTAGTTGGTTGCAGACGCGAGATACGTGACGCTCCGCTGCATTTTCGATTTAGACGGCCATTGATTCCGCTGCGTCGCTAAAATCCTGAACGGATAATAGCTACAACGCGACAGCCTGCGAATTCCTTCTTTCAACGGACGAGTTAGTGTCTATTGATGGCGAAAGAATGGAGAGGATTTCCGACGATCACGTACGGGTGAGTTGTGATTTTTTCTTTTTTTCGTTTTGTGAACGATAGCATTCGAAAGCAGAGACGATTAAATGATTCGCGTTTGACAAAAATTACCGTATATTCCACAAGTTTACATTGTAAAACATGTAACTTAAAATTTATTTTCTCCGACGTCTTAACTTGAGAATGAATTTTTTCTAGTTTCACAGTGGAAAATCGCCCATATATATGGCGTTAAAAATATTATAGGTTTCCATGTACACTCATGAAGCTCCCATTCAAAAAGTTTCTAATAATCTTTAATAGAAAATTATTTTGGTATATCTATTCATCGTGTTCCATAGTCTAGTTGCAAATTCAAATGCTTGCAGACTCTCAAAGCGGAATGCGGACGTGGACCCGTAGTTAAGGCTGACTGAGACCGTGAAACCGGATGCAGATGGCCGCGAGTCTGTGGAATTCGTATTAATGACATAGTAATCGTAAGATCTGATACACGATAATCCAGTAATATCTAATACGTGTCACAACGTATCCTATGGAAACCTCGTATTAGCAGCGAACACTTCCCACGCGGCATAGACGTCATTGGATGACACGATACAGATCATGCTGGTCACGAACTTCGAGCTGCTGACCACGAAGCGGATGATCTGATTCCGATCTATAAGATTAGACACAGCTAACGTCTATATCAGGGTCTTTAAACAGCCTCCAACTCGTAGGATACAGCGCAAACGACCTTAAACTTGAGCAAACCAATGAAGAACGTTGGATGTGTATTGTGAAGAGAAAAGAGACATATCTGATTTAGAATAATCTACACTGTATTTACTCAGGGATATTTCTTATGGAATAAAAAATCCGTATTTTAATACTAGATTCACGAAATTCGTCGATTTGACGTTAAACGCGTTTTTCTGAAAACCATATTTTTCATACTGGGCGGCTCAATAACTCTGTCAATTTTCATCCGATTTACTTAAAATTTTGTATGGTGGTTCCTAATGCTATTCTCTTCAGTTGCACGTACGAAATTTTCGATCGAATAATTAGTTCTCTACGTGGTGTTAAAAGAAATATTGACTTTTTCATGTGAATCGGTTAGAGTCGGGTTAGGTTTGGGTTAGGTCTGGGTTAGGTCTGGGTTAGTTTTTGAAATCTTTTTGTCAAAGTTCCACAATTCTATAATAAATAATTATTTTTAAAAATCCGTGCGTGCAACTAAAACTACTGTCTTGTAGTTTAAAATAATTGCATAATATCATGTTTCATAACTTGGAGTGAAAAAGTACACATCCACCCATTTCTAACATAAGGCCTCTCACGCTGGTTCCTATTATGGCTATAGTAATCAATATTTTTACACGAAATTTTTATAAGAAGTAGCTCAAGATATTTACTGCCGAAAACATTAAACATTTATCAGAAAACGTTTCATAGTTACACCCAAAAAATTCTTGAAAATTGCCTTTATTTTCAGCGTCACTTTCCTCCCTTGAGCAAAGCATGGATTCGAAAGGAGAGGTGTAAAAGTGAATCGTGTAAAATCGTGTTTAAAACGAGTATTTCTGTTTTCATCGGATAGGTATGGACGCGAAGAGAATCCGTGGCTCGCGAAATAGTTTGCTGCCGCAGCGTCAACGGGCGTGTACGCTAATCGTGACCAGGTTTCCTGAAATTTGGGTCGCAATTTCCTCTTTTTGTCTCGAGGACCGGAGCCGCGTAAAGTTGAAAAGTTTTCGAAACTGGCGTCGATATTAAAGGGGACAGCGAAAAACGGGAAGGGTCCGGCGATTCTTTGTTTCGTTGAACGTATTCGCCATCTTACGGTGCTTAATTATAGTTTAATTAAAATCCGTGCACGCCGCCCGTGGGAAAGTTTCAGAAGTTAATCCCCTGCAGAGTCGGCGATACTTTCATATTAGCGAGGCTCCCGGCCGTTCCGCGGCCGCTAAAATAAAACGAGTTAATTACATTATGGCTCCGACGTGCCGCGCTGCGCCGCGACGCCGCCTCTCCGCGGCTCAACCAACCGAATACCCGCGCACTCGCAATTTTGCGACACGGAATGCCAAAAGTGTTTCCGCCGTTTGTTAAGTTACCGAACTCAACAACGCGTGGAAGACGATCTTACCGCGAGTACTTGGCGCGAAACTTGTCGGGACGATGCCACCTGATCCTTCCAAGACACCAACGTCCCCAAAAATAACCGATTCTCCTTCCTTTCGAAACAATTTTTCTCTATTTTTGGTACTGGTAAATCATAAAATTCGTTTTGTCTAACCCCTTGCCCGACAATGATGAGTTTGACTCGTCACGAGTTCTGGATGTCAAGTGTCACGGTCATGAGGCTACTCATCATCGAGCCTTACATAGAGTTGTTCAGCCACCCCTGGGAACAATTTCAATGAGAGATTCTAGGAGCCAAAATAAGACGAAAATGAAGAATAGCAATTTGTTGATTGATGCTTCGTTAAAAAGTTATTAACGTTTAAAGTTCCGCCTGTAGAACGGCAATCTGCGACCAACTGAATGAGAACCACTATCACGCGCACGCAGCTGTTCTACAGGCGGAACTTTAAACGTTTATAACTTTTTAACAAAGCCTCAATCAACAAATTGGTATTCTTGATTTTCGTCTTATTTTGGCTCCTAGAATCTCCTATTAAAATTTTTCCCAGGGTTGGCCGAACCCTGTATATTAAAATCAACACATTTTTATATTTACGAGGCATTTGTAAAACAAATCTTTTTCGTGGCTGTTCCTTGTAAACAAAATTAAATAGTTTACGTTTGAAAAATTATATTAACACATTGACTGCCACGTCACCCACATATGGGTGACACGACTTTTCACCAAGGAGTTAAAAAAATTAATTCTCTAGCTTAAATGTCAAAGAAAATAAAGCTAGGTAGGGCCCTTGAATTTTAACGAGTCTGTGAAAATAAATTCAATAACAAATGATGGGTATGCTAGTTTCCAGTTGTCTATAAACAAAATTTAATTTCCCTTGTAATTTGAGGAGTTTGGTCTGGCAGTCAACGTGTTAAATCGTAAGTCAAGGGGTTAAGTAACGATTCAAGAGAATCGCAAATATGTTTATTTTGACACGTTTGGTTCTCACTGTCGTAAAAATTTTGTTAATAGAAATCTTTTTCGTGGCTGTTCCTTGTACGAGCAAATTTAAACAAAATTAAATAGTTTACGTTTGAAAAATTACATTAAATCTTACGTCAAGGGGGTAAGTAACGATTCAAGAGAATTGCGAATATGTTTATTTTGACACGATTGGTCCCCACTTTTGTAAAGTTTTGTTAATTTAAATGCTTGTTAATACGTTCGTTTTAAAATCGATAGTATTTAACTGTTCGTGTCTGAAGTACACGGTGTCCCAATTCGCTGAGTTCAATCTGGCGTTGGTGGATTCTTTTGTATTTTTAGGACTAGTAAATCATAAAATTCGTTTCTTCAAAGTTCAGTTTAATTATCGATTCACGAGAATGTTTATTTTGACACGTTTGGTCCCCCCCTTTGTAAAGTTTAGTTAATTTAAATACTTGTTAATACGTTCCCTTTAAAATCGATAGCATTTAACAGTTCGTGCCTGAAGTGCACGGTTGTCCTATTTCGCTAAGTGCAATCTGGCGTCCATCGGTGATAAGGAAATGCAGTTATCATAACCCGATACCCACGGTAATATGGCTTTAATCACGT